ACAAGAACATAGTTGCCACCTTCCCTGCCCAAACTCAGGGATTCCAGGGTTATGAAGTCCCAGGCTCCTGGACTAGACTTCCCAGTCCTGGCTCAGCCCCAGGTGATATCTGAGAGCTGCTGAGTGGAGTGTGTTGTCAGTAGGAGCTGGTCAAAGGCACACCATTCCAATGCCCCTCAGCTTTATCCTTCACGTGACCCTGCAACACCAATGCTCGTTCCCGGGAGCCCTAAGTGTATGTAATCAGAGAGAGAAGAGAGTGGAGCCCACAAAGGCCTCATTGAATCCCTGGCACGGATACATACCTGCCACCAGCGGAGGCTGGCTTTTCCTTTCCTGCTTCAGAACCTGTCAGCAGGCATCATGAAGGATTGCATTGGCAGGCCGGTCCCTGCTTTTCTGTACCCTACAGACCCACACCACTGGAGCAAGCCTGGGAAGGAGTGGCCTGCTGTGCTGCAGTGTGTGTGTGTTGTGTGTGTGTGTGTGTGTTGTGTGTGCATGTGCACATGTGCTTTCTCTTATTTTGGTGCTGGGGGTGGAACTCAGGTAGTTACCCATATTAGATTAGCTAGGCATAGCTCTATATCCATTGGGATATATATCCAGCTTATGAGCTTCTTGAAAAAGATATAAACATTTGTTCAACAATTTGGGCGTCACTGGAACTAAAACATATAATTAAAAAAAATGTTTTCTGAGCTATGCGCTGGTGGCTCACACCTGTAATCCTAGCTACTCAGGAGGCAGAGATCTGAGGATCACAGTTCAAAGCCAGCCTGGGCAGAAAAATCTGTAAGACTCTTATCTCCAATTAACCACCAGAAAACCAGAAGTGGCACTGTGGCTGAAAGTGGTAGAGCACTAACCTTGAGAGAAAGAGCTCAGGGACAATGCCCAGGCCCTAAATTCAAGCCCCATGACTGACAACAAAAAAAAAAGGTTTTTTTTTTTGTGGCCCACTCAACTTGAATACAGTTTTGAGTCCCTAGAAGTAATTACTATTTTATATTGTATATTTTTATTCTTGTGTATAATACTTTTACTAAATATATCTACAAATAAATTGTGTTCTTTGTCTTTTATTTTCTTTCTCTTTCTTCTTTCTTTCTTTCTTTCTCTTTCTCCTTCTGCTCACAGCTGGCCCTCTACCACTTGAACCATGACTCCACTTCCAGCTTTTTCCTGTTTAATTGGAGATTTGTCTGCCCAGGCTAGCTTTGGACTATCATCTTCCGATCTCAACCTCCTGAATAGCTAGGATTACAGGTGTGAGCCACTGGTGCCCAGCTTTGGCTTGTTTTTAAACTTCATTTAAATGGTATCATTCCACTGCTATTCTCTTACAAACTGCTCTTTTTCCTTTCTCTCTTGGACCTAATGCTGATATGTGCCATTCCTTTTCATTGCTATACAGTATTCCATTCTTTAACATGTCAAAGTATGTTCATGGTTTTCCTTTGCGTGCATAGTGAAATTTATATCCAATCTTTAAAAAAATGTATGTTTATCTTCTTAAATGGTGTATTTAATTTTTTATTGTTATTGTAAAGGTGACATACAATGGGTTGTAGTTACATCAGTCAGGTAAGGAGTACATTTTTTAAAAAGTAATATCACCCCTTCCCTCGCTCTGGACGTTTTTCCCTCCCATCTCCACCCACAAGTTGCATAGTTCATTTTCAGCATAGTGTCCAACAAGTACCACTGCTATATTTGTTCACCCCTTGTGCCTCCATTTCTGTGTCCCCCCAAGACAGATATGCAAACAAGACAAAGAGAAAACAGATCAACAAAAGGGGGAAAAAACCCAACTCTTGTTTCCGTTTCCACCCTTTTATGATCATGAACAGAGCTGCTGTGCAGGGTCTTGCACAGGACTTAGATGTTTAAGAGCTTCTCGATTGTTCATGGAGGAGGACATCTGCAGGGAAGAGTGTGTGTCTCCATCTTCATACTCGCTAACTGCTGCCAAATGTACTTGGACTCCAAAGTACTTGGACTTCTGATGACCCCAGCAGGATAGGAGCTGCACCCTGCCCTGTATCCACATGGAAGCCCAGAGTAGTTTCTTCATTTTTTGAAGTCTGAAAATCAAACAGAATCTCTATTATCTGAATTTTCTATTTCCAAGATGACTCAGGTTCAAACTTATTATTTGTATGGAAGTTCAATAGGTAAAATTAAAGTAAGCAGACTTATTCTGTTTGGAGGAGCAGGAGAAGGTGATCATATTTTAGACAGCTAAGGGGTTGAATGCGTTAATATCTTTGTTTTTGCTGTGATGGGAATGGAACCCAGGACCTTTTGCATGCTAGCCAAGTGCTCTACCACTGAGCTACATCCCAGCCCCAGTTGTGTCTCTGTCTGAGACACACTTGTGTTTTTCTAGATGGGAAGTTTTTAAAGCAAATGTTTACACTGGATTTTTTCCCATAGGAAATTTTAGCTGATGCCTTTTGTTTTTTTTAGCACTGGAGTTTAAACTTAGGGTCTTAAACTTGCTAGGAAGGTAATCTACCACTGGAGTCATACCCCTAGCCCTTTTGGTTCTGGTTATTTTTGAAACAGGCTCTTACTTTCGAGGCCAGGGCATAGATGATCCTCCTGATTATGCTGCTCATAGAGCTGGGATGACAGACACATGCCATGTCTAGCCTTTATTGGTTTAGATGAGGTCTCACTAACTTTTTCTCTGGGCTAGCTGGGAACCATGATCTTCCAGATCTCTCTCTACCTCTTAAGTAGCTAGGATTACAGGCATAAGCTACCACATTAGTTTTGATGATGATTTTTGTTTGGTTGTCACTTTAGCTTTATAGCATATTTTTCCCCTTCCTTTCCCTTCACTGGAGTTCATTGGGAGTTGAATTTAATCAAGGGTGTGACAACCCACCCATGAAGTTTAGGAAGACCACAAGGATATGACTCATGCAGGCAAGGGGTCCTCTTGATTCCCAGGCTCACCCCTGATTTAGTGCTTTTACTTTGACTATCCAGAGATGCATACAACACTCCCTCTCCTCCCTTCCCTGAACTTACTGGCAGCCTTCCACTTCTCAGGAAGGTTTCTTTTTTTTTCTTATTATTATTTAGGCCCCATCTTGCTCAGCTCTGTGTCTCACTCTTGACTTTTTGTACAAGTGACTTAGCTGCCAGACCTTTGACAATGACTTCATTCTCTTTACTCTTCTACTCTAGACTGCAGCTCCTTTGGGGGAGGTGTGTTGTTCACTGCTGTCATTCTAGAATGACACACTTAATACATTTTTAGTAAAGATGTTGATTTATATATGAGCTTTGGTTAGCAAAGGAAAGAGCAAGAGAACATTTCAGATACAGACAGAGAAGATGAGGAAGGAGGAGGGGAGAAAAGGAGGAAGGGAGGGAGAGAAAGAAGGAAGGGAAGGAAGGAAAGAAAGAAGGAGCCCATGTGAAAGTCTAAAACCAACACAGCCAGCTTGCAAGTGAGACAGAACAAGGGAAAAAGTATGGTTATAACTGTTATTATGAATGGCCATCCATGTAGGAGGGGCTGTGGGCCATTCTAAGTGATGTACTTAGGAACAGCAGATTGGACTTGATCTTGCCTTAGCACATCATCATTGTGGAGATCATGTAGGGTGGGGATTACAGATCAGGCTGGGCCACCAAGAAAGCAGTCACAGTGGCTGAGGTGAGAGGAGACAGTGGCCACAGCAGGCAATGAATGGCAAGGGAATGAAAAGAAGTGGACAGTGTCCAAAGAATGCCACCATTCTGTGATCCTCAAAGTTGGTGGAGTCTCATTAATGCACGCGCCACATCTGGACTTGGATGAGCTCTGGAGCAGGGATTCTATTAAGCGTGCTCTGAAGTAATCAAATGAGAAAGCTTTCCAGATGGCTCCACCCACATCTTCAACCTTCCTCTGGTGAAAGAAACCTGGAGCGGAGATGGAGAGCATTATTCAACAAAGCAGCGAATAACAGAGCTGTGTGAAGATTGAACTCTGAGATTTTGGAAAAGAGGGTAGCGTTTGACATCCAAGTTCTCCTGGTCTCCAAATCTTTTGTGCAAGTAAATTAGTTTCATCTGTCTCAAGATACCTTTTCCAGGCCAGCTTCTCCCAGCTTGCCTGCAAATGTTTCTCAGTGGTGTGTTTTGAGGCTTGGCTGGATCTCCTTGTCTGGAACAAATCTTTTATTCCTAGGAAATAGCTGGACTCTTATTACCCTCCCAGCTGTTGATTCAGTATTCGATACCTTGATCATGTGCAGGTTAACCCTGCCCCATCCCCTGACTGTGTCTCATTAGGAGGTGTTTTTTTTTTATCCTGAAAGCTGATTTTTTTTCACCCTCCCCTCCCCCTGCCCCCATTGTTTGGTGAGACCATTAGGACTCACACGCCTGTTTCTTCAAGCCTCCTGAGATGTACTGGAGTGGGGGCAGGGGGTGCATTCATTGTCTTCTCTGCTCACCTCCCACACTTGCACTGTTTTCCTTTGCCCCCAGTGTTCATGCCTTCCATCACACCCTAAAAACATCCAGATGCTGAGAATATCATGTTGCCTGTTTCACATGGGAAAGCCCCAACCCACCCTCCTCCTGTTCAAGTTACACCAAATCTAATTTCCATGGCCTATGCAGGAGGGAGTGCCACAGCCCTGTAGCAGCTGTGGAAGCTTAGCAATGCTGTTTCCAAACAAGGGCCAGTAGGCAGCCAGCAGGCACGAGAGAGCTGAGAGCTGGCAGAAAGTCCCAGACACCTATAGCCATCCAAACAGTGACTCATCCTCTTGTTGCCAGGATAAATATGGGAATCAATGGTATTTCTTTTGCTCTTAAGCAGGAAGAATTGTCAAAAATGCTTATCACTTTATAAAATAGAACAGATTGTGCCTGCTTCTTGTTTTGAAATGTTCCAGCTATTCATTAGCTCTATGTGTTGTTGGTTTTGTTTTGGTTTATTTTCCTCTCTGAGTTTAGTTATAGCTTTATCTTGTTTTCCTTCTTTCTAGGAGGCCCGGAGAAGCCAGGAGTTTCCATGCTGTGCTCCCACGTGAACTCTGGATCCATCTGGCCGTGGTGGCCTGTGGCAATCGGCTGGAGGAGACGCTGGTCATGCTCAAATCAGCAGTGCTCTTTAGCCACAGGAAGATGCACTTTCACATCTTCACAGAAGACTCTCTGAAGTCCGAGTTTGATAAACAGGTGAAGTTACATAAATGGGGCCATGGCATCACTAAGGCAGGGCTGATTTGCATAAATGGGGCAGACAGACTGCCTGTAGGAGCTGCAGAATGCACTTGGCTGTGGGCTCCATTGTGGGACCTCCCTCACCTCGTGTGAATACAAGGACATGTCACCGTCTTTGGGAAGACACTGGCAGGATTTAACAGAATGATGCTTTGGGCTGCTCTTTTTATCCTTCATAGGATTTCTACCTGTAGGGCAGATAGCTTTTTTTCTAATGTACATTTAAACAATAAGTGACATGTTCATTGAAATCAATAAACGTAATACAGATAGAAAAACAGATGTGTGTGTGCGCGCGCATGTATGTGTAGGTCCTAGGGCTTGAACTCAGGACTGGGTACTGTTCCTGAGCTTTTTGTTGTTGCTCAAGGCTATCACTCTACCATTTCCAACACATCTCCACTTCTGGCTTTTGGGAGGTTAATTGTAGATAGGAGTTTCACAGACTTTGCTGTCTGGGCTGGTTTTGAACTGTAATCCTCCTATCTCAGCCTCCTGAGTAGCTAGGATTACAGACACAAGCCACCCACACCAGCTCCTATATATTTTCTTTCAACACCCATAGAAGTGCTGTGTGTGTGTTCTATATATTTCCATGTGTAGACACACTGTATAATGATGCACCCATCTACATATCCATATACATACACGCATGTATCCAGATTGAAATGGATTTCTTTTGCAAAATCAAGTTTCTGCTCTAGAGCTTGTGGGGCTTGCTTTTCTAGTCTGAAAACCACTTGGTCATGCTATTTTCCCGGTCAGCACTGGACATTCTTGCTGAGTGACTTGTCCTGTCTTGGTGACTAACTACAGAGCCACCATCTGTTCTATAACCAGGTCAGCATGTGCTTGGCTATTCCCATCTTGAGTTTTTCCAGTGGACAAGGAGAGCTGAGATAAGGCCTCTGCCCGCCATGGAGGTCCATGTGTGACCTTGGCCCAGCAAGCCAAGCCATTGCTTAGCTATCCAATGCTGGCAGAGAGACAACCTGCATTCTGTTGTTTCAACTGACCTGGGCCAACAGTGCCGGGCCAGGTCACCAGCTAGTCACCCTCAGGAGAAATGCCAAAAACAACACATTTGGCAGCGCAAGGCTAAATCACAGAGAGCTAGAAAGCAAGGATTATAGGGCTTGCTTAAGACATACAACCCTTCTCAGCCTGTTTTGTTATCTGGATCATGGGGCAAATCATTCTTCTTGTGTGGTTTCAGTGAGACTGTGGGACTCAGTCAGAAACGTGTTTCTTGGGGCTGGGAATGTGGCTTAGTGGTAGAGTGCTTGCCTAGCATGCATGAAGCCCTGGGTTCGGTTCCTCAGTACCACATACACAGAAAAAGCTGGAAGTGAAGTGGCACTATAGTTCAAGTGGTAGAGTGCTAGCTTTGAGCAAAAGAAGCTCAGGGACAGTGCCCAGGCCATGAGTTCAAGCCCCAGGACTGGCAAAACAAAGAAAATGTGTTTCTTCTTTCCTGCTGCAAAGATTCAGAGGAGCGGCTTCTCTCTGTTGGGTGCTTTGCTGGCTCCTGGCAAGCTGCTGCTGAGGCTGCTATGAGTCAGGTGATGTCACCCATTTCAGGCTGTCACCCAACACTGCAGCAGTGTGGGTGTATCCCAGGGCTACAGTTTTAGCCCAACAAAACAAAGTGTCACTTGCCATCCTGATTCCTCTGGAGGCTGAGGTTCCGGGGAGTTCTTCATTTGTGGGGTTTTGTGTGGCTTAGTTGCCTAAGCCTGATGTGTTCGGTGCTACCCGCTGTCTATGGCGTGGGTACTTTAGTTTAAAGATGTAGTTATTTTTGTCATCTCAGGTAGAGAAGAAGAAGAAATGCATCGTCTGACAGCTCTGGTCAAGTCAAGCTTCAGAAGGCTGAGACCTGAGAATCACAGTTCAAAGCCAACCCCAGGCAGTAAAAATCATGAGACTCATCTCTAATTAACCACTAGAGAAAGTGGAACTGTGGCTCAAAGTGGTAGACTGCTAGCCTTGAGCACAAAAGCTTAGGGACAGAACCTGAGCCCTGAGTTCAAGCCCTATGACCAACAACAATAACAAGGAGAGAACTCAGGTTCATCTGATCTGTGCTTCTGCACTGCCCAGGGAACCAGGGGATGGTGAGGCCCAAAGGCAGACACAGAGCAGCAAGGTCTTGAGTGTGTGTGTGTGTGTGTGTGTGTGTGTGTGTGTGTGTGTGTGTGTATCATTTACATGGCTCCTCATTACTGAAAACAAGGCTGTGGAGACGATCCCTGCACCTTTATTTCTTGGGGCTTGTGGGGACCAATTTTTAAGTTGCCTTCCTGGTTGATCCTTTGATTCCATGCTCCCAGTGTTTGTGCCCAGTCTCCCACCTGCCAACTCGGAGTGCTATTTGTGTTAAATCCTAGCAAGATTCACAGGAGAAAAGGTAAAGCTTGCAACTAATGATGGAGTTAGACTTCCTGTGGAAATGCCTAAGCCATTTCCTGTGGGTCATCCAAGAAGCCCGGGCTGTCTTCCATATTTCTTACAGTGTCTAATTACCCTTGCCTTCCATGTCTTTCAGTTACGACAGTGGCCCGACTCATATACAAAGAAATTTGAGCACAAAATCTACCCCATCACATTTTCTGTTGGAAACCCTCAGGAATGGAAGAAATTATTCAAACCCTGTGCTGCCCAGAGACTCTTTCTTCCGGTAGGAATACTGTTTTTCATAAGATGTAGCTTGGGAACAACTTACTCTAGGAACCAGGGGGAAAGGAGCTGAGATGTGGGTTTAGAAACCTTTTGCTTCCAATTAAAGGTGGTTCTCCATTGCATCTGTGGTTTGTAGACAATTGCAGGTCTGCCAGCATGCAGAGCATCTCTTGGGTTAAGTCACCTTTGTGCCTATAACTACCAATTACTAGCTGTGGAGATCTAAGCAAAGGTCCCAATTTCTCCCAAACCTGGTCTCCTTGATAGCTATGGCCCTGAGTTCTCAGTAGATGTTACCATCTCTTAATGGTATTAACCTTTCAACAATGACTACTACTTAATGAAAACAGGCTAAAGTATTATTTGGGAAGGGCCCAGAGTTCTGATTCTGCCTTTCAGTCTTGAGTTTAAATTGCATGTTTTTGCTCCCACTAAAGAAAAATCTTGGGGCTGGGAAGGTGGCTCAGTGGTAGAGCGCTTGCCTTGCATGCATGAGACCCTGGGTTCGATTCCTCAGCACCACATAAGCAAAAAGAAAAAAGTCGGAAGTAGCTCTATGGCTCAAGTGGTAGAGCGCTAGCCTTGAGCTGAAGAGCTGAGGGACAGCACCCAGGCCCAGAGTTCAGGCCCCACGACTGGACACCCCCCCCCAAAAAAAGAAATCTTTTTTTTATTGTGAAAATACTGTACAGAGGGGTTATAATTACATGGGCAAGATAATGAGTACATTTCTTATCAAGCATTGTAGCCTCCTCCTTTGTTTCCCCTTCCCATCCATTCCCATCCTCCCCCCGCCCCCCCTCTACCCAATCCTTCTCCCCATTAAAAAAAAAAGAAGAATCTTAAAAGCCAGGTACAGTGAGTCACAGCTGTAATTCCTGCTACCCTGGAGGCTGGGATCAGGAGGAGCATGGTTCAAGGCCAGCTCAGGCAGGAGACCCCATCTTAACCAATAAAAATTAGATGTGGTGGCATGTGCTATCATCCTAGCTACACCAGAAATGAAAAATAAGAGGATCACGGACCAGACTGGAATGAGCATAGAAGCAAGACCCTGTTCAAACAATGAAATAAAAAAGGCCTGGAGGTATGGCTCAAGGGGTAGAGCTCCTGCTTAGCCTGGAAAGTCCTAAGTTCAAATCCTAGTACTACCAAAAAAAACCCATCCTAAGTAGAAAAATCAGCTAAGGTTTATATGAATTGAAATACCAGTGAACAGAGAAGGCAACTTTGAATTTAACCTTAATATTTCAGAGGGATCCATGCCTTCTGTAAGCCTTTGTTGAGTGTCAGGTGCCAGGCCCGACTTGGCAGTGATGATATGTGGTCAGTATAAACAAAGCCCTATTCCCTTTGGAGCTTAAGTCTATCCAGGCATTAGCAAAATGATCAAGGCTGAGGTGGACAGTCAGTGTCATGTATGATGTCACATAGGGTTCAACCTGGTCGGAGGAGGGTCACAGATGACCCCTGGAAGCAGTGGCATTTGTACCGAGACATGAATCTGATGAAGCTTTAGAGTGACAAGGGTCTGAGGATAAGAGAGAGAAAGGGTCCAAGAAATGGGCCAAAGTTAGCCTGGCACTGGGGGCCCATGAATGTAATTCTTGCTACTCAAGAGGCTGAGGATCATGGCTCAAAGCCAGCATGGGTAGGAAAGTCCAGGCAACTAGCATAAAGCTAGAAGTAGAGCTATGGCCTAAGTGGTAGACCACTAGCCTTGAGTGAAAAAGCTAAGGTGTAGTATCCAGGTTCTGAGTTCAAACCTCAATACTGGGACCAAAACAAAGCAGAAACATAACAACACCGAGAATTCAAGTTATAAAATTGTCTCCTTACCTTAGATAAAATATTTACAACCCATTGGAACCTCATTTGAAATTACTCTGACATGGAACTGTGACTTTAGAAAACAAACTGACCACATGATGGCATTCATTCATTCCCAACTAAATTAGCAGTCTATTTTGAATGAGAAATGTGTGCTGCCATCCCTTATCTCCTTCTGATAATAGAAAGTAGCCTTCCCTCAAAACAATACGAGAGATTGCAGTTGGCAGGACATTTAGCTTCTCTCAGGCCTGTGTTATAACAACAGATTATGATCTTCACATTTTTGGCCATTGCTGTGATTTATTGATCTTTTAGGTAATTTGAAATGAAGTCTAGGTCATGTGTTCCTTGAATTTCCCTATAAAACTAAATCAGGCCAGGTATCAGTAGCTCACACCTGTAATCCTAGCTACTCAGGAGTCTGAGATCTGAAGATCCATGGTTCCAAGCTTACCTGGACAGACAAGTCCATGAGATTCCAACTTTCACTTAACCAGCAAAAAGCCAGAACTGGAAGCATGACTCAAGTAGTAGAGTACCAATTATAAGTAACCGAGTGGGATGGTGAGACCCTGAGTTCCAGCTTCAAGACCAAACCAAATCAGGTGATGAAGAGAAAATGGAGATTGTAGAACACAAACATTCTAGCAGATAGCCACATGGCTAAGAACCGTCATTTTGCATGTGCCCTCAACGTGAAGGAGAGACCCATTTTCAACTAACATTTGCTACCAGAATAACATCAGATCTCAACTCAACGTCTGAAGCCTATCAGATTCTCAGGTACCATCAGGGGAACTCAAATTCCACCAGTGCAAGGTTTATGAAGTCCTAAAAATCAGGAGACCTTTATTTACTCTTCTACTTGTGGAGATAATGGTCTAGGAATAGAATGATTATTAATCCAACCTACACTGTAACCAGCTTGATAAAGATCTATAAGATGCATACTTCCTGCAAGTAATTGAGATGCATCAAGTATTTAAAACACTATACTAGCTACAAATAAGTCAATTTTGTTCATTAAAATTGATTCTGAAGACTTTCTCTTAGCAAAATCCAGATGTTTTCTTTCCTGAAGAATAACTAATTTTTTTAAATGAATGTGTATCAGCTTTCTCCAGTTAATTGGAAGTAGTGAAGTTTTTATAATAGGTCCATGCATTTTGCTGCATGCTGTGCCAGTAGTTGGGGTTCTCTGGGGATCTCAGGGATATTTAAAATACCACAGGGATTACTGAGTGGCAGGATCTTTCTCGTTTTAGTATGAGAATGTGAAGATTCATATAGGCTCCTATTGTTCAGAAGTTGGACCTTTCCAGGGTGTTTTCATCACATTTTAATAAACTCCAAGATCACAGTACTGCCTGATGTCTTCCTTACTGCCATTACCTGCCACAAGCATCCACATTCATGAAGAGAATTAGGAAGGAATATTATCAAGAGAGTCAGGATGAAACTACTTGTCCCTTCCAACAGGAAAGTCAAGGTCCAATGCAAAGAGAAAGCAGCAATGGAAAGGAAATATGAATGAATGAGACTTTGAGAGAACAATATTCTCAACAATATCCTCAGAGAAAGAAGATACTAGTTAGGCATGGAAGGCTCACACATGTAATACTAGATACTCACGAGGCTGAGATCTGAGAGTCATGGTTCAAAGCAGCCTGGGCAAGAAAGTCCATAAGACTCTTATCTTCAGATAACCACCAGAAAACCAGAAGTTGTGCTTTGGCTCCAAGTGGTAGAGCAGTATCCTTGAGCAGAAGAGCTCAGGGACAGCTCCTAAGCACTGAGTTCAAGTCCCAAAGCTGACCCCCACCCCCAAAAAAGATATTACATTCATGAAAGAAGCACAAGATTATATAAGAAATTAAATAGAGGATTAAAAAAACCTCTTCTAAGTTCATTAAATGATAGCTGAAATGAGTGACTCAGTAGATGAAAGAAAAATTGAAGAAATCTTTCTGAAAGCATAGGAAAAGAAAACCAAAACAACAGAAATAGAAATAAAATAAAAAACAGCATTGGCTGAGCACTGGTGGCTCACACCTGTAATTCTAGTTACTTAGGAGGCTGATATCTGAGGATTGCAGTTCAAAGCTAGCCTGGGCAGGAAATTCCATGAGACTCTTATCTCCAATGAACTGCCAAAAACTGGGAGTAGAGCTGTGGCTCAAAGTAGTAGAGCAATAGACTTAAGCACAAAAGCTCAGGGACAGCACTCAGGTTCTGAGTTCAAGTGCCATAACCAGCACAAAACAACAATAACCAAAAACAAAACAAAGCAAAACACCAGCTAATGCCAAATAGAAAACAAAAATAAAATGATCAGAAGCTAGAGAAGCTGGTCCAACATCTGAAACAGGAACATATCAGTTCCTGAAAGTACAAAGAACTCAAAAGAGAGGAAATCATGGGGCTGGGAAGGTGGCTCAGTGGTAGAGCGCTTGCCTTGCATGCATGAGGCCCTAGGTTCGATTCCTCAGCACCACATAAGCAGAAAAAGCCGGAAGTGGCATTGTGGCTCAAGTGGTAGAGTGCTAGCCTTGAGCTGAAGAGCTGTGGGACAGCGCCCAGGCTCAGAGTTCAGGCCCCACAACTGACAAAATAATTTAAAAATAAAAAAGTGGAAATCAACAGTGAAACTAATTCAAGAAAATTTCCCAGAACAAAAAGTTTAAGTTTCCAGATGGAGGGAACCTATCACCAGGTAGATTTCAGAACAATGAGGAGGAAATGGTCATATTAGCAATCAGAAAGGCTTCAGACTTCTCAACAGCAGTGGCAGAAGTGTTAGAGTATTAAATCAATGCCTTTAACATTTGCAGGAATCCTTATTCTACCAACCTAGAATTCTATACCCAGCCAAACTAACAAGTCAAGTGTGTGGATAGAGCCATACATTTTTGGATATGCATGGTTTCAAATTATTTACCTCCTATCAGTCCTGTCTGAAGGAGCTACTAAATCTTGTACTCTATCAATACTGGATACATCAAGAAAGATGAAGCAGGGGATGGATGGGTAGCTACTCAGAAGGCTAAGATATGAGGATTTTGATTTGGGGGAAGGGAGGTTATCATGACATCTCATGAATATGAGATGTCAGCCCTGTCAGAAGAAAAAATGTTTTATTTCTCACACCTAGAACCTGCATGTTCT